TTCATTTTCCTGGAAGAAAGATGACAGTATGTGAGAATGTTCTGGTTCTCCATGGAGATGATGATGATTTTGTGCAGACTCCAACAGGTGATGTCAGTTGGGGGCGTCAGAATGGCGGTGCAGAGCTGAAGAAAGCGATTAAACTTACAGAACTATATGGATTTCCGGATGTGGCACCAGTCTCTAATGAAATGGCAGGGGATTTCGATGAACTTGATTTGTCAAATGAAGATGGAGAGATATGGGTTGGAAAAAAGTTCAGGAACAAGGAACACTTTAAAATCACGTTGGCCATCAATGCGCTGAAGAATATAGTGACGTTCAATTTCAAAAAGCATGCGAAGAAGTACACAGTCGCCGAATGTCCATCAAAGATTTGTGATTGGAGAGTGTTGGGGGGTCAAGTTGGCGACTCGGCGTTGTATGAGGTGAGGAAGGCGTGTTTGAAGCATACATGCCACCCGGATACAAGAAAGAAATTTTCTAAACATGCTACTTCTAAAGTCATGGCGGCTCTGCTGAAGTCTAAGTATGAGAATGCAATAGTTGGGACACGTGCGAGTCAGCTACCTGCGATTGTTCTCTCTGAATATAATATTACAGCCTCGTACTGGAAATGCTGGAAAGCTAAGGAGCTGGCTATATACTCTGCTCACAGAACAGAGGAGACTTCTTTCAAATTATTACCGATTTACCTCTATGTGCTCAAGTATGCTAACCCCGGCACCATAACGCATTTGATAACCGAGAGCGAGAGAGATGAAAAAGATGGAACAAGTATTACCAGGTTTAAGTCCGTATTTATGGCATTGGCTGCGTGTATATCTGGATGGAAACATTTGAAACAAGTAGTTGTTGTTGATGGAACTCACCTGACTGGTAAGTCTAAGGGTTGTCTATTAACTGCGAGTGGACAAGATTCTAATTACCAGGTATTTCCAATAGCGTTCGCCGTTGTCGATGCAGAGTCTGACAAGACGTGGAGGTGGTTCTTTGAGAAGTTGTTAGAAATTATTTCAGATTCCTCTGATCTTACTTTTATCTCGGATAGGCACGGTGGAATTGCCAAAGCTAAAAAGAAATGGTATCCACAGTCACACCACAGTGCATGTCTTGTCCATATCCAGAGAAATGTTCACGGTAAATACAAAGGTTCCGGTCAGAAAGGGTTGGTCGGAAAGGCTGGAGAAGCGTTCACAGTTTCTAATTTCAAGAAACTATACGCAAGGCTGAAGGATGTTGATTATGGTTGTTGGGAGTACATGGAAAAAATCTCTCTTGCGCTGTGGACTAGATCACACTTTTCTGGTCAGAGGTATAATATGACCTCCAGTAACATTGCAGAGTCTCTGAACAATCACTATTCGCTGCAAGAGACAGTCCAATCGTTGCAATGCTAGAATTTATCAGGCGAATGTTAAGAAGGTGGCTTGAATGCAGAAGAGAGAAAATTCAAAAGATGGATGGTGACGTCACAGAAGAAGTTGACAAGTTAATGAACCTTCAGCAGGAAAAATCTGCTGCACTATCGGTTCAAGGCATTTCTTTGTGGGAGGTTGAAGTGAGTTCGGAGTTCGGTGTACGGCAGCTTGTTGATCTCCTAAACAAAACATGCTCATGTCTAGAGTTTCAGACATTGAAATACCCTTGCCGACATGCGAGGCCGCGGCTAGGCTTCGGCAAGTGGAGTACAACAGTTTGGTTGATCCAATTCTTAAGAAATCAATTTAGAGTGCAACTGTTTCTAGAAAAATCCTACCAGTGCCCGACCCTGACGACATTCGTATCCCAGCAGAGGTGCGTGACCTTAATATTATGCCATCTAAGGCAAAACGTCCATCAAGAAGGCCTACGACGAAGAGAAAACTTTCAGCAGGAGAGTATCCTCAGGTTAGTGTACAATAAACTATAAATTTTTTCCTAGTCCTACTGATTACTGATTACTGATTACTGATTACTGATTACTGATTACTGATATACGCTGTTGCAGGTTGCGAAAAAAAAGAAGCCAAACAAATGCTCGAGATGTGGAAATCCCGGCCATAACCGGGCAAAATGCAAGGAACCATTGGGTTGACCGGGTGTGTCTTTTGTGTGGCTCAAGTTGCTTTTTTTGTGGGGATGTTGCTTTGTTTTTCGGGTTTGTTTCTAGCGTACACTATGTTTCCCTCTATTTAAACTTGGAAAGGCATTAACTATGTTATATTTGTTATGAAATTTATGATGTTTACATGGACAGGGTGTACACACTGTGTACACCCATGTCGGTGGACACAGTTTGTGGACACTGTGATCTCGCTTTGTTTTTCGGGTTTGTTTCTAGCGTACACTATGTTTCCCTATATTTAAACTTCGAAAGGCATGAACTATGTTAAATTTGGTATGAAAATGATGATGTTTACTGGTCAAGGGTGTACACCCTTGACGGTGGACACAGTTGGTGTACACTATGATGGTGGACAACATCAATCAGTTTACATCATATAGTGTATTTGCATTATGGCTTATTTATAAGTTTACATTTATATGGTGACGGATATAAATTTAGGTGTATGGACGTTATGGGCTATCCAAATAACGCTTCAATATAAATGGCATACTTTGACACACGGGCGCCATATACTGCTCCACAACCGCTTCATCATTATGACTGATGAAAGAGTCCAAAATCTTTATGTTGCCTGTTTTAAAGTCAATTACAAGGCCCACCCAATGCTCAGACCCCCAGTTCATCGAGACGCATACAACGTCCACAAACCGTAGAAACAATTGCCTCTGCCGCTGATTAGCCCACTTTGCTGGTTTTCCCAATACAATGCCCTGAATGGTTTTCCCCCAGTCATACTGATTTTTGTCTCGCGATATGAAATCGTTGTAGTAGTTGCTGATGATGGATATGAACAAGGTGTCTACAAATGCTACGCTGTCTTTCAAGTAGATTTCACCTCTACGTCTCCAAAGCATGGCCATTATTACTTGCATTTGCTGACAAATAACAAAACACAAATAACATTTATTACAGATAATTAAAGATTGAGTAAGTACTAACAATATACTTACCATCGTGTTAACCCACTCAGTAGGCTTCGCAATTTGTAGGAAGAATTGATTGTTCACAGTATGACCAGTGACAATGCAAAAGTCGCTGTAATGAGAGCAATTGGTAATTGATTAGAATGAAAGTTTATGGATAAATTGTTTTCAATACGATATACCTTACATGTTTCTTTCACGCGATAATAACTCCTGAAATACCTTGAAGTGGTCTTCTTCAACTGTTTCGAGTGGTTTGTACGGAGCTTTCGATCTGGATACAAATAGAGCTTTCACCTTTGAATCAGCGGTGTAAATATCTCGAATCTTGTCCGACCGTACACGTGCGCGTTTTCCTCTACCTCTTCCTCCTCTACCTGTTCCTCTTCCTCTTCCTCCTCTTCCTGTTCCTCCACTTATTCGCCTCACACCAGACGATCCCTCAACTTCTTGTGGGGGTTTAGGAGTACAAGGGGTTTTCTGCGAAGCATCACTTGCATCCTCAGGCGCAGTATGGTAATCTTTCCCGAAATTTGAGTCGTCCTCATTAGCCACAGCCTACAAACCACCGTAACAATAAAGCATATAACATATCCATTGTATACCTAGCGTATACCTAAACACTACTGTATACACATCCATATCATATGAACAACTTTAATGTCTGACCTCTGCGTCCTGCGCATCTGTCTGCGCTTCATGTTTCTTATATGCGTAGCTCAATGGGTGAGGAGTCTGAGGTTTGTAGACTACTAAGGGGCCTGACACCAAATTTGTTCTACCACCATCCACCTGAATAAGTCATAAATAACATAGCACAATACACCCACGTTATGAAACTTAATAGAGTCAGCTGCTGCCTAAACAATTAGCTCACCTCGTTGAGGCCAGTAGGTGGATCTTCATCCGAAATGACGAAGTAAGGAGGTGGACGACTTGTTCCTGAATTGGCTTGTCCCGGTTCAGGGGTCATCGGCGGAGCTTCTGGAGTCTTCAAGTACGCATGGTCCCTGGGAGAATAATGGTCCCCGCCGTAGTAAGTAGATGTCCCTTCTTCATCATCTCTTTCTTTCTGGTGTACACCAGCTTCGGGGTGTACACCATCATTATGGCGTACGCTAGACTGTGCCCCATCATAACCTCCTTCTTCACCTCCATCTTCGGGTTCGTCTTCATCTTCATCCGGTTTTTTACCATCTTTTTTTGTATTATTTCCTTCGTCATCCTGTTCCCCATCTTCTTTTGACTGGTGTACATCGTCATCTTCTTCGTCCTCTTGGTATACGCCCAACTCTTGTCCAACTCGGTCTTAATGTCACGAAGGAGCAAAGTATTCTGACGTACTATCCATCTTTTAAGCTCTTTAATGGGTCCACTATCAAGGGATTCATCTTCCGATAGATTAGAAGAGTTCTTGCCCCTGCCTCTCTTCCTCTGCATGGGACGTTTTTCAGTTTGATGAGTTTTCTATTTCTTCTTCGGTCTGGTGGATGGCTCAGGTTCCTGTTCATTGGTAACCTCGTCCTCTGCATCACTAATATCCACGATAGGGGCCGGTGCCACTGCAAAATCCGAAGGTGTGAATTTGTACCCCTCGGCCATGAGTTCCTGCATGAATGCAACTTTGGCATCCTCTACCTCATCTACCCAACGCAATTCATTCTGTTGGTCATTGTCACCATCATCCAGTACCATCTGTTTCACAGACAACTAAGACAAAAAAATAAAATTGTAAAATTGCCAACCAAAATGACAGAGCACTTATCTTTTAAGACAAGTACTACAAAATAAGACTACAAATACTACTAAATATAATACTACAAATAATTTACCAGAGGGTCGGATTCCACGGCATGTATGTCCCCAAGATGCAACAATGTGATAACGTTTTGACAGCCTTCGGGATCTTCAAGGAATGTCTTCAAGTTATCAGGTTGAGGAATTTTGGAAACCAACATTGGTATAGATTAGAGGGTCATGAGTTGTAGTAATAGAGGGAATCCATAGCATGCACTGGTTTTCTGTTTAAGCTGACGGCGCAATCGTGTTACAGGATTCTCCCTTTTCTCGGCATCCGTGATTGCCTTCGGAGCTTGAAAACGAGATACTGTTTTGTTAAAGGATACCCTCCCCCATGGATACAGCATGAACTTATCCAAGTCAGTAAGCATCGCAACGTATTTCTCGGTGAAGGCTAGATTTTTGCTATTGCAAAACAAAACACCGTCGACAAGAACGATTAGGGCCAATGGAAGCCGTTTCCATCGGGGTAGATCCGGGTCCTTTAACATTTCAAGCACATCAAACACGTTCATCGCCTTCGCTCTTCCGAACAGGTCTTTCCAGATTCCTGTTTTTCCCACATCGTCTTCTTCTTCTGTGCTATCAGGTTCGGGATTGCAATTCAATCCAGTGATTTCCTTGAACTCCCGTATCGAATATCTCAGAGGCTGTCCACCAAAGAGGAACCAAATCTCGTGTTTCTTCGTGGTCACAAGTTGTCGTGATAGAAGGGCATGGACAAGTTTGGCGCTGTTGCAACATCTTGCAACAGGTAGATGGAACAACTTCCCAAACTGGGAATGAAGTAGCTTCTCAAGATCTTCAGTACCCTTTAACGCCTCGACAAGGAGGCCAATGACATTGGCCTTTGAATATATGTTCAACCGAGCACCAACGGGGTAGCAACCATCGCCGAGGACTCGTTTTGGTAGTTTTTCCGAAAGGTTATTTGAAGCTTCTCCATCTTCCATGCCTGTATTTGAAGGTTCTTCGTCTTCCATACCTGTATTTGAACGAAAACAACAATTCCAAAATGCACGAAAAGATATAGTATTCTGGATAAACGGAAAACTACCCTATTCGTATGGTCTCCTATAAAAACTTCTGTAACTGTTTCTAGATGATATAAGAGTAATCCAACCGTTTGAAATCAATATATAGACATAAGTACTACGGTTCATAACCGCCAATACATAAATCAAGCCAATCAGGCGGCCCGTTTCAATCTTAATCTTAATTACAATCTTAATTTGAATTACAAACCGCCAGTACATTTCAGACAAGGTCGAAGTTCATAAATGTAACTTACTTTTAGAATTCTGAGAAGGCCATTCTAGAAGAAGAGGAGCGAATTGTACTTTGGCTCTACACCGCCGGCGTGGATTCAGACGACTCGAGTGAATGGGATGTTCAACCCGGGCACTCCGTCGCGGTGACATGGGCGGCATGGGCGAGTGGTCCGTCGGAGCTGTCTTCGAGTTACTCCGGAGCACTCGCCTTAACACCGGATGCACGGTGTTGTTCCGCGTTAACGATTTTTTAACTTTCCCCGCCATTATAAAGGTCTATCGGAGGCTAATCGGAGCTGGATTGCCGGAGATGGTAGATAGACGACGTCCAGATGTGGATCCCGAATTAAATTTTTAATTTAAATGTTAGGGTGTCGATAAATTATACTTCGGTTTTTAATTTGGTTTTACTTCGGTTTATGATATTGGACTTCGGTTGATAATTTTGTGTAATCGGTTTACCAAATCGGATTTAATCAGACATTTTTAGTTATTTTACTTCGATAATGGCAATTTCGAAAATAAAAATTGCCTAAACGCCCTTGTGGGAAGACAAACAGTAAAAACACCCCTTTCCTTCTACGGTTTTCAAAACATCCTATTCCTCAAATTTAAAACTTAAAAACATCTCATTCAACAATTTTCTCTTGTTAAAATCCATAACATGTAGCCTTAATCGAATAACCGAATTAGAATTCACAAAGCTCAATGAACATAAACAGCAATTTAATAGTACTATTGTAATTAATCAAAAAGGAAAAACCTGAACTATTTGGTTACAACTTACAAAGTTACAAACTTTGCAATAGAAGTTTTCTTTATTTATTATTACACGTTCTATTTTTAGTACGTTTCTTGTTTTAATGGAAAATTCCAAGAAAAAATAACGAAATTTTCGGAAATGCACAAATCAAAAGTTCCATGATCTTGAACAATAATCGAGAGATCGTCACTGATACGATTTCCAATTTGATATCATATGATTTCATTTCACCACTCAGCATTATTTTGACTATTCTTCAAAAAAAAATATTTATATGATCACCTTTTGATTTTTTTTCCTCGAAAGACCTTTATTACATTATTTTTTTTTATTACATGATTTTTATCTTATTTTATTTTTAATTTGGGACAAGATTTTTCTATATTTTTGAAATTTGCCAAATTTGAATATGACATTTTGGAAACAGAATAAACAAATAATTTCCACGCGCTATCGACAGGCAAAATCCCACAGATATGCAAAGATCTCTCAGAATCTCTTCGATATCATATTTTCCCTCTCTTTTTTTTCCTTCTCCTTATAAATCCTCTAATCTCCCCCATTCAAATCATTTATCCCGTTGCTTAATCAAATCTCCACATTTTTCTTACTCTTTTTCGATTCCAAGCAGATTCTCTCTCTCTCTTTCGCAGATCTATTTGATATGGCGGAGGTTTTGCGTCCAGAGAAGTTGGATATCTCCAACGACACTTCTTCCTTAGGATCGCCGGAGCTTCTTCATGTTCTCGCCGTCGACGATAGCATCGTCGATCGGAAATTCATCGAGCGGTTACTCAGGGTCTCTTCATGTAAAGGTAAGCTTGTGTTTTGGTTTAATTCATCGTTTTTCTGTTTGATTTTCGAAATCTGACAATATTTTATATATAAAAAAATCTCAGTTACTCTTGTCGATAGTGCTACGAGAGCTTTGCAATACCTTGGATTAGATGGAGACAATAGCTCTGTTGGATTTGAGGTAATAGATCTGATCTTAGTGTTTTTTTTTTGTTTGAGAGTCCATTCAAATTTGGTATTGAAGATTTTGATTTGAATTATTTTCAGGATCTAAAGATTAATCTAATAATGACTGATTACTCTATGCCTGGGATGACTGGATATGAACTATTGAAGAAGATCAAAGTAAGTTTGTTGAATTTTCTGATGATTCAATCGATCTAAAACAAGAATGCATATATCTAATCTGTTTACGTATTTTTGAATTTATAGGAATCATCAGCTTTCAGAGAAATACCTGTGGTGATTATGTCGTCTGAGAACATCTTGCCTCGTATCGATAGGTATATTTTCCTACTATATCTTATTTATGATCCTTAATCCTTGTTTAAATCAAAATCACGTAAGAATACGATTTACCAGATATAGTAAATTCCTTAGATTTTGTGCATTTATTTGTTCAGGAGATTCGATTGATTATAGAAGGTGTTTTTAGGAAACTTTTAAGTAATCACACTATTTAGGTTTTTTTTTTGAAAAAGATACCGTTAACCATATCAGATTTGCATGATAAAAAGTATTACAATATGGTTTCTTTAAACCATCATGGGTAACTGTGGGTGGTGGTTGCATATTTGATGAAGGTCATGAAGCTAAGATTTGGTGTTACTTTAGTGGGTCCTTGCAAGATTTAATAACTTTTCTAATGGATATTCTTTATCAGGAATATATAATAATAATAATAAAAAGACAATTGTTTCTTGTGACACGAAATTATAGAAAAGAATAATCCTTCATAAGTTAAGCAAGATCTTCTCTTGAGATTTGATTCAGTTGCCGGTGATGTGATATAACCTCCCAAAAATAGTATATTATATGCTCTCTCTTAATTATTTTGCATAATCTTTGGTAGGGTCATTATAAATCCTCATCCCTTGTGATAGACACCTCACATGCTTTTGCTTATCACTAAGGAACCATCTTTTACCAAAATCAAGTCTAATAATGTAATTGCTTATAATTAATAATCATGAGCTGGCCATCTTGTGGATCTAAAGCTATCAACTTTATGGAAGTTGGATCACTAATATTTGATTCTTTTTTTATTCAGATGTCTTGAAGAAGGGGCTGAAGATTTCTTATTGAAACCTGTGAAATTGGCTGATGTGAAGCGATTAAGAGATTCTTTAATGAAAGCTGAGGAAAGAACTTTCAAGAACATTATGCACAAGAGGGAGCTAGAAGCTAACGATGTCTACTCGCAGCTTAAACGCGCAAAGATCTGAATTATGATCTTTAAAAGCTTCAAACTAGAGCTTTGGGCTTAAAATTTTTGGGAAATGACAGCTCTTTTGCTGGTAGAACCAGTGAAGGCAAGCAAGGGTTTTTTTTTCATAATAGAAATGTATATTGTAGACAGAAGAAAATTGGGATTCATTAGAGAGGAGAGATACATAATAGTTTTTTCTTTACATGAGATATGTAAAATGGTGTTGTTGTGGAAGTTTAATAGAAACTTTGATTTTTATTTCTTTTTTTAATTTCGCCTTCACTTTACGTGGACGAAATCTTTTTTCTATTGACACACCCAAATAAAAAGTATAAAAAGTTATCAAAACCAAAACTTAAAAAAATGATTTAGGAATGGATTAGTACCATTTAATAATACACATAGACAAGCTAATCTTTTGTCTACGTAAATTAAGCTGTCAACTTGGTACGACTCCAGCGAGAAAAGTTATATATTAAACGTTGGACCACAGTAAATGGCTTTTCCTAGAAATTGCCCAACTTGGGTTTTTAATAAGACCAAGACGACCTAGTCTCGTAAGACATTTTCCATGAAAGCAACAAATACTTTTTTTTTTTTTTGAAAGTAACAAATACTTGTACAGTTGCCAAAAATAAAATAAAAGAAAAGCAAGTACTTATATCAAAATTCTAAAAAAATTGTAATGCGGTTTAAGCAAACTAAGATTTGACAAATATCATAATTTTCTTTATGAAAATCTGTAAATTTATATAAAAAAAAAATCTGTAAATTTAACTTATTCAGTTCTATATTGTTTATAATACAAAATGAAACCGAATTGAAAAGGAAAAACTAGATGAAAGTTTATTATTACAGATTTTTTTTTTTTTAGAAAACCTCACTCAAAACAGAACCGGACTAAATGAAACCGGACTAAACTTTAGAGGAAAAGATAAGTCAAATCGAACGCAAACCGGATAGACAAGGAACTAGAGAGAAGTCTGCTTCGGTTTACTTTAAATAAGTTGAGCGAAATCGAACCAGTTCAATATATGGACGATTATCCGCTTTACTTCCAGACAAGAAATTGTTCTGTAGGAAACGAAGACTTTTTAAAGGGAAGATAACTATAAAAGCCTTCAAGTGAAATTATTTAAACAGCCTACAAAAATTTTAATTATTAGAATAACTTACGGTACCTATTCTACCCTTTTGATCTTTGATAAGAAAAAACGTAATTACAAAACTGTCATTACTATTTATAATCCACATCAGCAAAAGTTTGATTTATTTACGAAAAAACCAACACGCTCAAATAAACAAGTCTACCAATATGTCATGGTAGACTTATAAATTTTTGGTAGATTTATATTTGAAACCGTAGATTTGTTTTGGGTCAGTAGATTTATTCGAAAACGGTAGATTTGTTTTGAAGTCGGTAGACTTATTTTGATAGATTTATTCTTACGTTAGGTAGAGATGTTAGTGGTTAGTAGACTTATTTAATTTCCAGTAGACTTGTTTATAATGAGGGTAGATTTGATACAATCTGGTAGACTTTTTTTCGGCAAGGTTGACTTTGGTTGACTTTTTGGTAGACATTATACCGGATTGGTAGATTTATACTATATGACGGTAGATTTATTGTCGTCCGAGACAGACTTTTGTGTAATGATAATAGACTTATCGTTGGAAGGTTTGAGCCTTAATGACGGTAGACTTATTTTTAATGACGATAGACTAATAATGGTTTGATAGATTTAAAAGTGTGTTGGTAGATTTATATTTGTATTGATAGATTTGTTATTGAAATGGTAGATTTAATAGCCGATACGGTAGACTTTATCAATGATAACGTACGGTTCTTGTGTAATAGATTTATTTGACGAGACGGTAGATTTATACTAATTTTGGTAGACTTAATTAATATGACGGTAGATTTATTCATGAGATCAATAAACACGAACCTGATAGACTTATAACGATATTGATAGACTTAGCAAAATTTGGTAGATTTGTTACAAATAGGTAGATATATATGGCATTGGTAGATTTATTCAGAATTGGTCTACTTATTATGAAGTGATAATAATGGTAGATCTGTTTCTTAAGGACATTAAAGGCAAAATCGGAAATGACGATTGAGCCCATCAACTAACTTCAGGTTAGCAATAAACACCACCGCCTTGAGTTAGGGTTTACCGCCGCCTTGATTTAGTGTCTCAGATCTGCTATCTTTCTATCTTGATTTTATCATCATTTTTTCAATCTGGGGCAATGGATCAAGTTGTTATGGTCTATGGAAAATGGGATTTTATGAATAATCGTTGGGTGTTCTTCGTTGATAAGAGAAAAGGGTGTAGAGTTTTAGGAGTGGATCATAGAACCTCGTTTTCGGATTTGCTTGATATGGTGTATGAGGAATTTTCATTGGATCGGCTTTTTTTGAGGTACGACTGAGCTTATTATCTCCAGGTACGTAAGTTTTTGTTTTGGTACATAAGTTATCTTAAGGGATTGGTAGACTTGTTTGCTTATTGATAGACTTGTTTTCTTAATGGTAGACTTTTTGTTTATTGATAGATTTGTTTTTCCATGATAGATTTAAGACAATTTGGTAGATTTATGTAAACAGGTCAGAGTTCAGGAAGCCAAGCAACTGGATGTTCAAGAGATAAATGAACATCGAGCACAGGTCACTGGTGGGTCGTTATTGCATGGGGTAAACTTGGAAGCGCGAAAATGTACTTGCTGAAGGTTCAACATTGATAAAATCCCTTGTGTTCATGCTATTGTAGCCGCTAATGCTGCAAAAATTGATATTGTCCCTCTATGTCATTCCTATTTCCGAACATCTTACCTGTATAACGCTTACTCGGGGGTAATCATGCCAAGAGATACCGCCTTACCTGTGCCCGACGAAGTGGGTACGAAAGTATGTAATCCCCCTTTCATTCGTATCCCACCCGGACGCCCAGAAAATCGCGTATAAAAAGTGCATTGGAAGTGGCAATGCAGAAGAAACGTCCAAGAAAAGAACACAAGTGTGGAAACTGTGGGGTAGGCGGCCATAATCGAGCTACATGCCGAGCTTGAACTTAGATATGTTGTTGTTGTATGCTATAGTGTTTAATAAGTGGTCAGTGTAGCTATCTTCTTTCTTAAACTGAACTTTAAAGGGTTGTCATTGTTTGTAGTTGTTATTTGTAGTTGGTATTTCTTTGTAATCAAATCTACCAAGACAATATGCAGGATAACATATTTTTCATTGATCCCATAAAGAAAAACTTTCTGTGGGAATAGTTAACCACATGGCTAGTACAGCATGTTCCAACCTACCAAACTTTCAAAGGACCAACCTCAAACAAAAAAAAACATGGTCCTCTAAAAGTATAGTCAACAAGTCTACCGCAATTACCCTAACAAGTCTACCGCAAAACATAACATAAATCAACAAGTCTACCGCAATTAACCCAACAAGTCTACCACAAAACATAACATAAGTCAACAAGTCTACCTCAATTAACCCAAAAAGTCTACGAGTAAATCAGAGTAAGGTAGATCACTTCAAAGAAGATGTCTGAAGCGGAACCCGATCATCGTACTCTCCACGAGGGTTAAGATCAGATTGCTGAATTGTTTCTCCAAACCAGGAAGCTGGAATCTCGTCCATAATCTCAGCTGCATACTTCTTACGTATCATACCAATGTTCGCATCACTAAGGTCTCCCATACATGCCCAAGAGCCAAATACTCAATAACCTTCAACGTATAAACGCCGCAGTCCCCAGTTTGGATGTTTGAGGAATATCCTTCATCCTGTAGAAGCTGAATGCTTGCACACTCTTCCAATCGTTTGAAAACATTTTGTGCAGCAACATTGGAATCATCTTAGCGTATACCCTCGTCTCTGATCTTAACCGGTTATCGCCATAAAGAGACCTGATTTAATCATAAACAAGTCTATCAAAAACAAGTCTATCAAAAAGAAATAAAGTCTATCATAAACGAAAAACTAGTCTACCACATTCATTATACACGTTTACCAAACCAACAACTCTACCGAAGACGATATACAAGTCTACCACAATAAAAATAAAACTCTGTCTACTTCATCAAAACAGCACAAAAATAAACAAGTCTATAAAAAAAATAAAGTCTTTCAAAACAAAATAAAGTCTATATCAAACCAAAATAATGTCTATCAAACAATAAACAAGTCTATCACATTAACTCTATCACATAAACTCTAAACCCAAACTTACCTCAAACTCGACGCCGGTCGACAAACCTCTCGAAATACGACACCTTTCACCGGAATACGTCTCCTACAAGTGGAAAAGTGAAATATTAATATTAGGGTTTAATAAAGGTACAAACTTTAGACGGCGGTCGCCCTAAAAATCTCGCCGGCGATGCTTAAAGTTTTGTCGGAGACGGCGAAGACGACGAAGACGAAAAGAAGAAGACGAAAGAAGAAGACGAACATAGAAAGACGAAAGAAGAAGACGAACATAGAAAGACGAAAAGATGAACACAGAATCTCGGAGGAGAGGAAAAAAGAAGAAGAAATAGAGAAGAGGAAAAGATAAAGAAAATGGACCTTGCTGAATCTCGCCGGAGAAGACGAACCAAAATCGCTGCACACTGTTGCAGCAATCGTCGCAGAAGTTTTTTTAGAAACACAATTAGGGTTTCTAACTATTACTTCCTTTATATATTTTCTCTCTTAATTATTTGTTTTAAATTTTAGTTAATTATATTGACATGTAATAAAAATAAAGGGAAAATTTAAATAATGGTATTTTGGTTATAAAAACGAAAAAATGGACTTTAATGTTTTTAACCATTTTATTAAGGTTAGTTTAGTTTTCCAAATTTGGGGCAAAGTTATTCTAGTAAAGAGACAATTTTTGAAGGTTGTTATAATAATTTTCTCCTTTTTAAATCAGAAACCAAAGTCAAGCTACAAAAACCTTAACCAAAAAGCCTTTAAAGAAAAAAGCAAATTAAAATTCCGACAAAACGTAAATAAAGTCAAATAAACTATGAGTTACTGCAAAATCCCACTGATGTCAAATGTAAAGAGTCACTGCAAAATCCGAATGATATCTGAAAGCAAAATAATTTTTCTAGCTAATTTCTATTGGAGACGAAGACTCCAAAAGTCTACCTACAAAATTCATACCAAATTCATAAGATATCACAAAGAAAAAGTTTCGGACAAAAGGTAAATGTTTACTTCTTTAGTTCTTTACGAGGGTTTCTGCGAAATTCAAGTCATGTCGGACGTACAAAACTATTACCCAATGATAACTCTCCACGTGGAGTGATAGTATTCGTTTATCTTCTTCATGGTCTCCAATTGGTAGAGAGTCAACTCAATTATACAGTAAACAAGCTCTTCAAATAAAGTAAAGTAACAGCTTGACAAAAAAAAAACAGTTCTTCAAATATACCCAAAAAACCCATTTTACAGTGAAATCTGCTAGACTATTTTAATGGGCATTTTAGGTAATTACTCCAGTCTACATCTTTTGCCTTTATATTACAGTTAATCCACAGAGATGAAGAAAAAGACTCATAAGCAAGAGACCCAGAACAAAAGAGAGAAAAAAAGTCCCATAAGATCAATGGCGTTCGAAGCTTTTGCCGGAATCAATGATCTAATCACCAAATCATGGAAGGCATCGACCGAAGCTTACAAAACCGACCAATTTCACAAAGAAGAAGAAAGGGAAGTAATCTTTTTCTCTTTCCGACCATCATTCTCGGAGAAAGATTGGTTTGCTCCAGAGAACAAGTCTCCCTTTGGAGAAATTAAGATGGATCGTGTTCGATTCCCTTGTATGAGAAGCATAGGCAACGACGTTGACGCTACTGTTAACCAAGCTTTCCTCAAGAATCTTGATGTTCTCCTTTCTACAACATTTTGTAATCTTGTAAGTTAATCTCTTGACTTTTTCTGACTTCAGTCGAAAAAACAATCAGACTACTTTTATGTCTGAAACTTACTTCCTCAGGTGAAAAATGCTGCGGAGAGCAGAAAATATCAACGGATAGTGTTCACTGGACATTCTTCAGGAGGTGCAACTGCAATCTTAGCAACAATTTGGTATCTGGAGGAATACTTCAAAAAGAAGAATGGTTTCCCTGAGCCTCTTTGTGTGACCTTTGGAGCTCCTTTGGTTGGTGACTATATCTTCAAGCACGCGCTTGGGAGGGAGAATTGGAGCCGGTTCTTCGTGAACTATGTCACAAGATTCGATATCGTCCCTCGGATCATGCTTGCTCGAAAAGAATCAATCAAGCAAACTCTGCCTCACGTTCTTCCCCAACTGGATCTTACAAAAGATTCCATCCAAGTTAGCGTCCAAAGCAACGCAGAGTTTTACACTACGGTGTTGAAAGACACATCAACCGTCGCTTATCAAGCTGTCTGTGAATTGATTGGGAACGGAGAGGCGTTCTTGGAGACTCTTTCCAGTTTCCTTGAGCTAAGTCCTTATAGACCTGCAGGCACTTTTGTCTTCTCTACAGGGACGAGGTTGGTCTCGGTGAACAACTCTGACGCCATTCTTCAGATTCTGTTTTACGCTTCTCAGTCAAGCAACGAACATGAATGGTCTCTAGTTCCAAATCAGAGCATAAGAGATCATCGTAGCTACGTGGAAATGGTACAAACAATGGGGATGAGGTCGTTTCATCATCTGGATTTGCCTTTGGATGGAGATTCTGTACTCAGTGACCTCGGATTGGTAAATCTTTCTTTCCTTGTTCCTTGTACGTTTAAAAAGAAAAAACCATTTATAACATTGGTGTTTCTTTTCTTTGTTTGTTTGTAGAGCACAAGAGCTAGACAATGTGTCCGTGCTGCATATGAGGCAGAGAAGAAACGAGTTGAGAACCAGACTAAGATATACAACAAACAAGCTAAGATAGAAAAGGAACTAACATGGATAGAGATAGAGTACAAGCCAAAGTGTCGAACTCATAAGAACGGGTACTATGATTCCTTCAAGGCTTCTATGGATGAGATTGACTTCAACGCAAACGTCAAGAGAGCTGAGTTAGCTGGTATATATGATGAGGTGCTTGGTTTAGTCAAGAAAGGTCAACTTCCAGATGGGTTCGAGGGGAGCAAAGAGTGGGTGGAGCGAGCAAATCGCTACCGCAGATTGATCGAGCCGCTTGATATTGCAAACTACCACCGACATTTAAAGAACGAAGACACAGGGCCTTATATGGAGAAAGGGAGACCAAACCGTTACAAACACGCTCAGAGAGGGTATGAGCATGAGCTAATGAAAGAAAGAAAGACTAAAGAAGAGATAGAGAGATCCAGTGGCGGATCGTGCTTTTGGGCTGAGGTTGAAGAACTCATGGGAAAAGACTATGAACATTTTCAGGCACGGATTAAGAAGTTAGAATGGTTGCTTGAAGAATGGATCAGAGTAGGGGAAGTAGATGATGAAATATTTCTGGAAGGTTCAACATTTAGAAAGCTGTGGAATTCACTTCCAGAGGATCACAAACGCCAGTCTAAGCTGTTTGGCCGTATGGGTTGAACAAGAGCCACTTGAACCTGAAAATGTTTGATTGTTTAAGATATTGGAACTTCCTTGTGTACAAGTGTGCAATAAAGAGATGTAATAGCTCTCTGTCCTAATGTTTTTGAAATTTGGTTTCCACTTCAGGATGATCTTAAAATAAGAAACATGTTCTAAGATCATTGTGAAGTAATGGAATAGCTCTCTTTTCTAATTTCAAATTTGGTTTCCACTTTACAACTATCTTAGAATAAGAAAACATTACTCTAAACATTACTGAAAGTTGGTTGAAACATTACTAACCTCTAAAACCTCAAAACATTTGGCTGTGTTAATAGCTACTACGATAACCAAAGTTGAACAAGTATGAAACTTTCCGTTTGCCCTCCTGTTGCTAGTTTGCTCGATATGAAAGCTTGGCTCAAGTATATGTTTCCTAAACGCAAGTAAATAAAAGGGTAAAGTTTCACAATAGTAGACGACCAAGAAGTTCTAAGTAGATTTGTGTTCCCCCAGGATCCAGATGCATACTATATAGCAAATGAAGAAGTGATCGATCACAACAAAATCAGACCATATAAATAAATATAATCTTCTGCTGTGTTCAGTTGCTCAGCAGAGAATCAAGTAAAACGATATAACATTCATATGACAGAGTAGCAAGGTTCTCGGAGGCAATGGAAAAGAGACTTATTGCAACTTTATGTATTTGACATTCGTGTACCACCCTATGTACTCACACACCACTCTACATAACCACCACCACTACATGTTTTCATACGAAGAAGAGTCATTGACATAGAAGAACATGGAACATAGTTCTCAGGTGCCAAAAGACAAATCCTATACCCATATCTAAAGAGTATTTAAAGACAGGTTAAAAACTTAGAACATGCGAGGATTGAAAAAGAAAGAGTAGAAAACAAACAGACACAGTCCGAGAAACGCCACATCCTCTTTCTTCATGACCTGCAAAACATGCTAGTCGAACGAGCAAGCCGAATAGTCAGACCACCAGCTTGAACACTAGCCTCAACCTTGACTGTGTTCCTTTCATATGGCTTTCTGCAACCTGGACAACGTCCATCTCCATCGCAAATCGTCTTGTGGCAGAAAAGGCAGAGCCGGAATCCACAAGGGCATGGTAAGAAATTAGAATCTGTCAAGTCCAGATCTTCGTAGCAAATAGGGCATGAAGATGGCACTGCCACTGAACTAAAATGCATGTTCATGACCGGAAAACTACGCTGCTTTTCCAAATTCGGCAGACCCTGAGGGCGGAGCTTATCATCTGGCCTCCATGCCTGATTACTCTTCTGCTTCCTCGACATTGTTCTCGGACAATCCAGCTTTGCATCCCTTACAGCCACATCAGATCCACTGATTGAATCCCTAGGAGAAGCTGATTGCTTGATAACATTCTCATGCTCTTCGCAGGACTCAGGAGGATTCTCTTTCTCGTGCTTTTCGTCATCAGCTGCTAAAGCATCAGCAAAAGCCTCCCAATCGTCCAAACACTCGTCATCATCAGCATCCTCTTCCTCTGTTATATTACCAGAGCAAGAGCCACCACTCCCACTGCTACTGCTGCTGCTGAAATTGGGGATCGAATTCATGCCACTCAGAATACTGTTAGGGCTATTCGAAAGCGACTCCATAAAGCTCTCATGACCATGTGTTCCACTGTTATCCTCTTCTTCTCTACCCTGACCATCTAAATTCTCCACCGGACGATCTCTCTGATCAGGTTTCTCACTTCCAGTTTTTCGATTGGAATCCATTTCCTCCTTATCCCCTCCTTTGTTAATCATCGCAACTGATGGTAAAAACCCAAATCAATATAGACGAAATCTCAATCCAGAGAATCAAGAACCTAAGCAAATCATGTAAAATGGAACATATAGGAAACAAAAAGATAGATCTTTTATGATGATCATACATACCTTGAGAAAGCCATTGCTCACGGCGGAGACCTAGCTTGCTCTGTTTCAATTTGGCTGACCTGTTCGTCTGCGACCCAATGCAAAGAAGAAAAAAAAAATCACAGTACATATCAAAGAGTGAAGCCAAAAGAATCGAATTTTTAGAGAAATGAATGAGATTTGAGAAAAGATTCAAAGAGATTTTTAGGGAAAACAAAAATCAAACATACCCTTTTCTTTTTTGCGAAATCCCTCGCGCTGGGAGCTGCAGTAGCAGAAGCGTTGGTGATCGAATCAGAAATCATGACTTACAGATGATTCCAAAAGCGTGAAATCAAACAAAAGGTGTAGAGAATTTCGAAATCACAATGAAGATTCTCAAAAACCCTAATCAGATTTGTCGCGAGAAGAAAAGAGAGAAACGTGCGATTTTTATTTTTCTTTCTTTGTTTGTTGGGTCTGTGAGAGAAAGAGAGAGATAATATAAAGAGATAACGGAAACTCCTCGTCTCCGCTCAGAATTTTTCTCATGACAACAATACCCCTGGTTTTGACTTTGGTACACGCTCGAATGTAGGGGTGGTTTTGTAATCTTATCTAATCCACACGTGTGAGTTTCTTGTGTCCATTAAAACGGTGGCGTACGATGGACTATATACACGTGAAAGCTCATATGATTCACATATCATACCTCCTTCACAAAAAAAAAATAAATCTTTGGATCTTCAATTATTAAAAGAGTTGGAAAAAAACAGAGCTTTAGATCAACCAGATAGGTTTCTTATGGTCACAAAATTACAATTTACAGAGAGTTTAAGAGAATATAAAAAGTCGAAGTTGTGTATCTTTGAATTTACAGAACCCAATCAAACACATTTTCTCCAATATTTTGATGACAGTAAGCATGTTCTGCAACAAATACATCAAAACAGGTAAATTAAACAGAAATGTAAAATAACTTAAATCTGGTTTATAGGAGCTCCATTTAGGTAAGCTAATCCAAGACATTTGTATTTGCCTATTTGGGTTTTAAACATTACCTTGCAAAACGAAAGCTAGAATAAGAAAGATCAGGTAGCCGAATTTATATGAAAAAAGTTAAGTGAAAAAACAAATTTTATGAATTTAGAAAAATGAAAAGAGCAAGAATGCAAATTAACAAATGAACCTAGAATAGCTTTCTTGTAGCATTAATAAATTAAGAGTCACACAACATCAACGTGATGACTTGTAATGATAAAAAAAAACTCAATCTTCTTGAATTATCATCTAACTTATAATCCTGAATCAATATATGCTTACCACATTCTAGAGATAGATAACTTCAATCAATGAGCAAATTAAGATAGTGATTACATAAAGAGAAGTCAAGTGCATTAAGAGAGATCAATGTGGCCTAACTGACCCCAAAAAACCCGTGAAACTGCCGTTGAAACATGTCGAATGTTTTTAATTCCGAAATTGTCCAAACAGAAATAAGCTTTATGGCCTAAGATAAAACACTGTTCATAAGAGTCAGAACATTCAATATCAAATTAAGAAAATAAATACTCAAACTAAAGAACAAATGCGGAAATAAACCAACACAAGTTACAGAATAGTTAAAAAAAGAAGGGTGAACTTGCGCAGATCTGACTCAATACAACAAAGAAACAAAAAAACAAAACCACAGACAAATATTCGGGAATCTTCCTGAAAAAAGGAGCTTCGATTGGATAAGCAAGACACGAACTAATGAAAAAGACTTTTATGGATCAGACAAAAAACAGAGTAGTGATATGTTATCTCACATCAATTGCAGTTCTTGTGTACAAAAGGTAAAGCCACAATAAGAGAGAGAGATTTCTGGATAAACTGAATTAAGAAGCAGCTTTTCTTGCTGCAAAATTCGAGGACGAGATTAAAGAAAAGGCTAATTTATATGCTTGTATGTACCTAATCAATTTGTCAAATAAAATTACGAAATTAAATGTCACTAGATCTATAGTGTCGAATAATCATTTTATCTTAACTGATATTTAAAAAACATCGAATAAATAACATATGATTTTGATAACGATTCAAAAATCAGTAATCCAATGATTTTGTTTGTATTATTTTTAACTATTTTGCAAAAAATGATAAAATTGTATTATTTAGTTTGAATTAAAAAAAAAGACTAAACCGGTAAAACCTCTTACCTAATCATGATCAAATTAGTCAATGCCAATTGCCAACTAAACCTGGTCGAGTTAAAAAAGAAAAGAAAAAAGAAACACTACACATGCTTATAGATACACATTCCATGCTAACACCTAATAGTGAGTTATGTGCAATGTTAGAAAGTAAGGTTTGTTTTTCAAAATCCACCTAACGGTTGGAATAACTCGAAATGTACCCATGAGCTTCCTCTCTATTTATAGAGAGACATCACAATCTTGATTGCGACACTTGTAAAAGTAACGATATAGAACAAGTATAAAGGTTGGTGTCCCCTGTAATACTTCTCTGTTATTGGAACTTTGTTTTTTTGTTTTATGTTTTCTAATGAGACTATGAGAGTGATGTTCAAACGATAATTAAAGAGAATATATGTATAAAAATGTTACATTGGTTGGTGTCTAAACATACCAATTATATAGACAACTAGTCTTGGTGTGATTGGGATGGTTTCCAGAATTACTAATCATGTAACCATCATTAGGAATCCACGTGGATTTGATTTGTGTACAGTAAGAGATACTTGTACGGTTAGATGTGGTAAATGACAAAGATGAAAGATTGCAATATAATATACATAGGTAACATTGTACCAGTCTAATTTACAACTAAAAAACTGTATGCAAAATGTTCGTATACGACGAATAGTGACATAGTGGCATACATTCAAATGTAAAATCTGTAAATGTTAAGTTGAGGAAACAAATAGCCAAAAGTTGTATCATAGATTGGTCATCACTGTATACAAGCACACCATTATCACTAATCAATATTCATAAGATATGGTTAAACTTAAACCGATTAGAAAAGAATTTTGAAGCTGATTTTTTATCTGCCAAATTTCAAGCTGAACCAATACCGTATAACCTAAACTTTGTAACTTAATAATCTTATTCCTAGAGAGAGCCGAAATCAAATGATAAAAGAATTCAAGATTTCTGGTTTGAAGTCAATAGACTCGTAAACCGAAACTAACCCGAAATTGGAACAGTAAACCGAGTTGCAGTATTTTATTTTTAATTTAAAACGGCAAAAAAAAAACAGAAATAAAGTCAAAGAGTTAAAGGAAACGTGGTCAAACCGTCAGTCACACACCCACCCTTAATCTCTCCAGTCCCTATGTCACCTGAAAAAGATTGGAGATGACGTCACGCACATAATGTTTTATCATTTAAGTCACCGCACCGTCACGTTATCTTTGCCCTTTACCACAACTCCTCCCTACCCGAAACTCCAAACCGGATCCACCCGACTCTCCGAAGTCACCTTTCCCCTTTTTGCCCCGTCTCTCTCTCTCCTCTTCTCTTTCTCTTCTCTTCTCTTCGATTTATTTTTGTTTGTTTGGCCTGGTGTTTTGTTCGCATACGCGATTTCGCGAAGAAAATTTTCGATTCCTGGATCGATTGGAAGGCGGATTCGATTACTCCCTCCGTTGGATTGTCTCCGTTGCTGTTTGTGGATCCGTGTTGTTGTGTTTGGATCGGGAAATTGAAAAACCCTAGAATTTTGAGGGAGATTTGATCCATTTCGTCGCGAATTTAGGGTTTGTTTCTTCTCCGGCGGGGTTTTTTTTTCTGGGTTTGGATCTAAGGTAATCGAATATTTGGTTTGGGGAAGAACATCGGAGGATTTCGCGAGGAGTTGTGTATTGATGTTGTTCGAAGGGGAAGATGATAGAAGGCTATGCATGGGAGGGTTTGTGAGGGGAGGACCAAAAGTCGTCGTCGGCACATGTTGATATCTTCCTCGCGTGTAATTGCGAGTGTGGAAGGTGGTGGTTCTTCGTGTTTGTCCCTATCTTCATCTACCTCGTTCTGTAAGGTAATTCAAATCGATTTCGTCTTCAGGCACTCATTTTCCTGCCCCCCTCGTTTGCTTGGATTGGTCGCCTGAAATTTGGGGGAATTGTAGTATTCTGTTGATGGATTCGACGAAATGAAACATTTTCATTACTGATTTCTAGCCTGATTGAACGAAGAAACGATCACATACGCCTGGCGATTTAGGGATTAGGAAAATTTTACACCTTTATACTGTGCTTGTCTGGGTGCTTCTTGTTCTCTCTTGGACTTACAGTTTTTTTGTGTGTTTGCTGTCACTAGCAGGACGGACGCAGAATTAGTGTTGGTGACTGTGCTCTGTTTAAGCCACCACAGGATTGTCCACCGTTCATTGGGATAATTCGCTTGATCATTGCTGAGAAAGAAAATAAGTTGAAGTTGGGAGTAAATTGGCTATATCGACCCACAGAATTGAAACTTGGCAAAGGCAACCTTCTAGAGGCTGAGCCGAACGAACTCTTTTATTCCTTTCACGAGGATAATATACCTGCTGCATCCTTACTGCATCCGTGCAAAGTTGCCTTCCTTCCAAGAGGTGTTGAACTGCCATCTGGTATCTGCTCGTTTGTGTGTCGGCGAGTTTACGACGTAACAAACGAGCGCTTATGGTGGCTGACTGATCAAGACTATATTGATGTGAGACTTTAATTCATCACCAGTTGCCTTCTTCTGTTTGGATATGATTTTCTCTCGTAATTAAGGCACTTTTTCCTTTTGCAGGATCGACAACTAGAAGTAGACAAGTTATTGTGTAAGACTCGTTCAGAAATGCATACAACATTACAACAGGGTGGTCGTTCTCCCAAGTCAATGAATAGTCCAACAACATCGCAAGCGAAAGATGGCATCCAGAATAATAACTCTATTCTCTCTCAGGGTAAGGGAAGGAAAAGAGAGCGTATGGATCATGGTTCTGAGTCTGTTAAACGGGAACGTTCCTCTCGAATAGATGACAGTGGTTCTGGTCCCCTCAGAACAGAAAGCAGTTTAAAGTCTGAGATTTTAAAATTTACAGAGAAAGGGGGGCTGGTGGATTCTGAAGGGGTGGAAAAATTGGTGCAGCTCATGCTGCCTGAGAGGAATGAGAAGAAAATAGATTTAGTCTGCCGTGCAATTCTTGCAGGGGTTGTAGCGGCAACAGACAAGTTTGATTGCCTTAGTCGTTTTGTCCAGCTCAGGGGATTGCCTGTGTTTGATGAGTGGCTGCAGGAAGTTCATAAAGGGAAAGTTGGGGATGGAGGCAGTCCCAAAGACAGTGATAGACCAGTAGACGATTTCCTCTTAGTCTTACTTCGCGCTCTTGACAAGCTACCTGTGAATCTCAATGCGCTTCAGACTTGTAACATTGGAAAGTCTGTTAATCATCTACGATCACATAAAAATTTAGAAATCGGCAAAAAAGCAAGGAGCCTGGTTGATACATGGAAGAAACGTGTTGAGGCAGAAATGGATGCGAAGTCTGGATCCAACCAGGGTGTATCTTGGCCTGGAAGACTGACTCACGGAGGGAGGCATTCAGGTGGATCCGCCGAGGCAAACAAGACATCATCGTCCCAGCTACATGCTTCAAAGTGTGTTTCGGTCAAGGTGGAAAACAACCTGAAGCCTGTAGCCACATCTCCAGGCTCCACAAGATCAGCTCCATCCCCTGGATCAGGTGGTACCGTTTCTAAAGATGGACATCAAAGAAATGCTGGGACTGGTGGTGTATCTGAAGTCCTAGCTTCAGTTAAGGATGAGAAAAGTAGCAGCTCTAGTCAGTCCCACAATAACAGCCAGTCTTGCTCGAGTGAGCATGCTAAAACAGGTAATATATCTGGAAAGGAGGATGCAAGGAGCTCAACTGCTGGTTCAACTGTGAAGAAGTGCTCAGGTGGCTCTTCAAGGCATCGGAAATCAAACAATGTGTTTCAAGGATCGGCTTCGTCAGCATCCCCTAGAGAGGCTGGGTTGAGTAGAAGCTTCTCATCACAAAGGAATACCCCTTCTGAGAAAGTATCCCAATCAAGTTTGACATCTGAAAAGACTCTTGAGGTGCCTCTGACTGAGGGTTGCAGTAATAAATTGATCGTTAAGCTGCCGAAACGCGGTCGCAGTCCTGCACAATGTGTGAGTGGAGGCTCTTTTGAGGACCACGCGCCAGTGAATAGCAGAGCTTCTTCCCCTGTGGATGCGGTGAAGCAGGAATTGTGTGACAATAACATGAGAGAAAAGATTCATTCTTCTCGAGCAAACGAGAGTTCTGTCTTGAACGCCGAGTCTTGGCAAAGTAATGAATTAAAGGATATTATGACAGGGTCCCATGAGGCTGCTGGTTCGCCAATTGTCGTTGCTGACGAGAACAGGGCTCTTAAAGATTCTGGAAAAGCTGCAGTGAATGTTAAAGGCATATCTTCGTCACTAGGAAATGAGTTTAAATCTGAAGAAAGGCATGGTGGAACACTCAGTTCCATGAATGCTTTGATTGAAAGTTGTGTTAGGTACTCCGAGACAAATGCCTCTTTGGCTGGTTCGGATGATGTTGGAATGAATCTTCTTGCCAGTGTGGCTGCTGATGAGATGTCTAAATCGCCAGTTGCATCACCCTCAGTATCTCAGCCTTCGAATTCCTTGATGAATGAAAACTCTACTGTAGGGAACAATACAAAGTTAATTGCTGTGGATGGCTTGCCTCGCGACAAACATGAAGCTGTTACTCAGGATCGCACCACTTGCAGTAACGAGCAAGGTGATCAACATGTTAGCAGTAGTAGCATGCAGTTAGTGGAGATCAAGAATGATTCCAAGATTGGAGATTTTGATAAGAGCTCAAATTCAGACACTGAAGATCTGCAAAAGTTGGTGGATCAGCGCCTAGAGAGCAATGACAATTCAGATGATGTCGCTGCTTCACCTGCTTTGCCCACAACCACTGTTAAGGAGAAGAATTTGGATGATAGTGACTTTGGGGAAGTAAATGAGAGAAAGGCTGACGTAAAGTCAGAAGCAGATTGCATCTCTGACTCGACGAAAAGGATAGCAAGCTCGATGCTAACTGAATGTAAAGCCATCGACATATTTCGAAAGGTAGATCCTATGGCTGTTGAAGTCTCTCCATCGGACGGTGTTGGTGACAGCAAGAAAGAAGAGTTATCACCAGCGGCATTGAGATCTGATCTAGTTAAAAAATCTGGTGAAGATGTACCAGTTGCTTCTGGGATTTCAAGGGTTATGGATGATGTGAGCGTTGATAGACTGGTAACTGAAAATGTCGATAATATGGAGGTTAATCATATAGACCAAAAAGATAAAAAGAAGATAAAGCAGGATTGTGATGCTTCTGTGGCTGTTGGAAAGGATGCATCAGCGGGTGTGGACTCATCTGTAAGTAAAGGTAAAGTTAAGCCTGTAGAGGGGAATCTAGAAAATACGGAAGTCAAGGAACGGCACTCTGGGCCAAGAGCTACTCCAGGAGTATCACCTAAAGATGCAGAGGATCTTAAGAGACCGAATGGGTTGAAAGCCAGTGATGCTGATGGAGAAGAAGCAGAGGAATGTACATCTGCTGCTAGGGATGCTTCTTCCGCATCAACTGCAGCTTCAACTGGCTCAGAGATGGATGCCAGAGTTGAATTTGATCTAAATGAAGGTTTTGATGGAGATGATGCAAAACATGGGGACTCAAATAACTTCTCTGGATCTGTATTTTTGACGCCGTCTCCTCTACAACCAGTTAACACCCTACCTTTTCCGGCGGCCCTCGTATCTAGTGTTCCTGCATCCATTACTATTGCCGCTGCTGCAAAAGGTCCGTTTGTTCCTCCTGAAGATCTATTGAGAAACAAAGGGGCTGTTGGTTGGAGAGGATCTGCCGCCACTAGCGCCTTCCGCCCAGCTGAGCCAAGAAAAGCTCAGGACGTGCTGCTGAGCATTAACAATTCCTCTACATCTGATGTCTCTACATCTGCTGGTAAACAGACAAGGACGTTTCTGGATTTTGACTTGAATGTTCCTGATGAGAGACTCCTAGAAGATTTGGCTTCTCAAAGATCTGGAAATGCCACAAATTGTACACCTGCTGTCACAAATAGCTTTGACCAAGTACGTTCTGGGGTCATGGGTTCAGCGCTTGATCATTCTTCTGGGGGCCTTGATCTTGATTTAAATAAAGTTGATGATTCGACTGATATGAACAATTACACAATGAGCAGTGGTCATCGGCTAGACTCATCTTTTCAGCAGGTGAAATTGTCATCTCCAGGTGGGCGTAGAGATTTTGATTTAAATGATGGACCTGCTGGTGATGACGCGGTGGTTGAGTCATCTATGGGTCTAAGTCAGCATTCACGAAGTGGCTTGCCATCACAGCCATCTCTCTCTGGAATACGAGTCAATGGCGAAAACATGGCTAGTTTCTCAACTTGGTTCCCTGCTGCCAACGCGTATTCAGCAGTGAGCATTCCTCCAATCATGCCCGAGAGAGGGGATCAGCCTTTTCCAATGATTGCCAACCGTGGACCGCAGAGAATGTTGGGTCCAACAACTGGTGTTTCCTCATTTGCCCCTGATGGGTACAGGGGTCCGGTTTTGTCGTCTTCTCCAGCCATGCCGTTCCAGAACACAACGTTTCAGTATCCTGTGTTTCCTTTCGGAAATAACTTCCCGATTGCCTCAGCAAATTTCTCTGGTGGTTCTACAACACACATGGATTCTTCTTCAAGTGGGAGAGCTTGCTTTCCCGGTGTTAATTCTCAAATATTGGGTCCTGGAGTTACTGTTCCCTCTAATTACCCAAGGCCTTATATCGTTGGCCTCCCAAATGGTGGTAGCAATGCTGGAGTTTTGGACAATAGCGCAAAATGGTTTAGGTCGTCAGGACTTGATTTGAATTCTGGTCCTGGAGGTCATGAAGCAGAGGGAAGAGACGAATCAACACTTGTGCCAAGGCAATTATCCTCATCTGCTTCCTTACCTTTGAAGGAGGATCAAGCAAGAATGTATCAGATGTCTGGCGGTGTTCTCAAGAGGAAAGAACCGGAAGGAGGATGGGATGGATATAGGCAGTCCTCTTGGCAATAACAATATCCCGGAATCTCAGTACGCCACGAGAGCTTGTAAGCCCCAAAAATTCCACATTGCATGAACTCCTCTTTATTTTTTATTTTTATTTTTAATTGTCTGTAACACTAATGTTTCGATTGCTCGTTTTGCTGTGCTAGTTATGAAGAGATGAGACTGACTTGTGATGCCACAAGGCTTCATTGGCTGGCCGGCTCTGTTCAAGATGATGAATGGGTGAGTCAGTTTGCGACTTCACAGTGGTCTCGGTCTTTTAAGAACACAAAACCTGATCTTAGTTTCACCATCATGTAGATCTTCCAAGCAGTACCAAAATTCACCGGCGTGGCCATTCTCTTTCAGAAGATTTGTCAACAAGGTTCTCAGCGAGAGACCCGCATCATTTGTTTCCTTTGCCTCCTCCCCACAGAGAGTTTTAAAAGGTGAACGAACACACACACTTTTTGGTCATTCTTCTAAACATGCATGTGTGTATCTCTATACACCGGCACAATAGACTACAGAGAGATAAAACAAATGTTGGTGGCTTTGAGTGTGTTCTAATTTATGATAAAAGGTCTTTGGCATTGTGGCTTTAGATATTTTATGTGCTGCCTTAGGTGATGGCGTTGTATTATAGACACAAGATTAGTTACTTCTTTTTCTTCCCTTTTTTTTTTTTTCTGAAGTTTGTAGATTTGTTACTTGTGCTAGTTCTGATTTGAAAGTTCCATGCCTCTTTCTTGTCACGCTTGTCTTTTGGTCTCCGATTCATAATAACTTGGGGTTATAGACTAAATAAATTCAAACTGGGGAATAAATCACTCAAGCTTTTAAACAATATGAAGTGCAATGATTTGGTTTTATCGGAGCTGTTCTCTTTTTGTCTCATTGGTTCTCTGGCTTCAAAGTGGTTATACAATTCTATAATCAAAGATCATCAGTGTTGCATATATGAACAAAATAGACAAAGCTACTATTGAGTGGGAGGCTACACTACATCACTTGTCGCAAACGCAAACACAAAATTAAAAGGTAACAAAAAGAAGAAGATGAAAATAAGTGAGCACTCGTCAGACGGATTTGAGTCGTCATCAATGCCGCTATCTCTTCCCGCACAGAACGTTTCTGCCAAATAGAGAATAAATCTGTAATTGTTAGTAACTTTTTGAGGCTTCACATAAAACATACAAACGGTTGTCTAAAATCCGTTGGCTCAAATTATGATGGCAAAGCTAGTTTTTTGCAGATACAATTTCAGGTGTCGTCTCTACATCATTTACATAAAAGGATTCTATAGTGAAGATATTTTCTACTTACGAGAGACATCCGTAGCGCGGTTTTTGCTTCTTCTTCTTTTTCTCTTTTTGTTTCACCGCTGGTTTGATTACTACTTTGATAGCAGCATCAAATACGGCTTTCACATTCTGCAGAGAAAAAAGAAAAACATAAACCAAAGAAAGCCTATCGATCATATTCATTGCAAGTAAAAGAGCTAAACACTAAATGGCTCCTATCATTCTTAACACACATGGACACAAGTATTACCTGTTGAGTTTTTGAGCTGCATTCAATGTAATATGTTGCTCCAATATGCTTGCGTAGTTCCTCTCCCTGTCACACAGGAATCTTGATGTCACATGAAACCTAGAGTAAGTGCCACAACATTGCTTAAGGTTTTCTACAGGTTGAATAATCACACCTGTGATGTAGTTACCGGGGACAGTCCAGGATGATCAGACAAATATAATGCTTATCTTCACGAAGATCTATATAATGGAGCATTGCAACAAACATTAAATGTACTATACGTGATTTCTCTCGAGCCCTACACAAGGAAAATATGTTTGGGTTCTAGTCTATATTGCTTTCTTACCCATTTTGGTACCAACAAGTACAACCGGGACTCCTGGTGCAAAGTGTTGGAGTTCAGGGATCCACTGACCAAGATAAAACAGTACTTCACGAGCATCAGAAATCACTCAATATTCACAGTTTCATTCCCAATAAGAGAAAGAATGAACCCAATTTTCACAAACCTTTTTGAATACATTCTCGTAGCTAGCTCGGCTGACCAATGAGAAGGCCAACACAAAAACGTCTGCTCCTCTGTAACTTAAAGGCCTTAGTCTGTTATAGTCTTCTTGTCCTGCAAACATGCAAGGCTACTCATGAATACAAAACGCTAACAGTCACCAATCTTGAAACACACACTATACATTTGTTGATCCAATTTGTTTGATTGGAACTAGAGGAACAATTGTGACTTTGTTTTTCCTGAGAAATTCAAGAGAGGAATTCCTTACCGGCAGTGTCCCAAAGCCCTAAGCTCACAGTGATGCCTTCCACCACAACATTTGCACTGAAGTTGTCAAAAACTGTTGGTATGTAGTCCTGATACAAAGTCATCAATCAATCCTCAAACTTCTCAGCACATGTTTAACTTCAGGAAAACAAACGCGGAATTGATATAGCAATAGAGTAAAAACACTATGAGTAAACTCTGATGAATCAAGAAACCTACATATGCTAAACTCTACAAAGTAAGATTTTCAAAATCTCTGTTAACAGATCCACAATACCTAGAAAGAAAAAAAAAGGAGCTAACTTTGAGATACCCTGATGGGTTCTTGGAAAACGAGCTGAAAGTTGACAGACCCAGAAGGATATTCAACTAAAAGTAACAAAATTGGAGATGCCCGGATGAATAATTTGATGAAAATCGGCGAAATTAGTTATAAAATCTTGAGAAACGATTGATTTTCAAGGAGAGGAGGGTTTTTAAGGCTTACAGTAGGGAACTTGTTACTAGTGTAGCAGATGAGCATACAAGTTTTTCCAACGGCTCCATCATCAACTGTCACACATTTGATGAATTTTGAAGCACTCGAAGCCATTCAAAACTCAACAAAAGCTAAGAGACTCCAGAGATAGAGAGAAAGAGAGGTAAAAATATAGAGAAATGCAGTGATTTTGAGTTGAGAAGTGGAATAAAAGTTAAAAAAAATTCCGATTAAACAGAGTAGTAGGTTGTTATTGCTCCACAAATTTATGGCCTTTTTTTTTTCTTTTTTTTTTCAACTCTCTTTTATTTCTCCTTTTTGTTTTTGCTTTTCCTTAATTTTTTTGGTTTGAAGATCGAAGAGAGGGAAAGAACGGCGTATATACGGTGTATTTTTATGTTATACGAATTACGCAGAAGCAGAAGCAGAAGTCAGAACAAACAAAAAAAGACCGTGTATACAGTGTTTGTAGATACTATGCTGGGCGGTCCAAACTTTCTGTACGCTTAAATCTCAACTTCAAAATGATGTCTATCAATTAAAAAAAGAAAGCATGTCAAAAAACTAAAAAAAAAAGTGCAGATGACATTAGAGAAGCATAAATATTGTTCAAACCACTACATTAAAGGAAAATTTGTTAAAAATGATGCCCTTAAATTTGATATATAATTTGGCGCATAAAGCCCTTGCTTCATGGGTTTTAGGTCAGGGCCGACCCTGATACTATGAATCAGTTTTGTAAAAATATCTACTTCTTGTTTTTTTTTTTTGACGTTTGTTTGATTAATAAACTTAAAGTTACAACTTAAGACTCTGTACGTCAATACAAAGATCATGTCGCGGATATCCTAATCAAACCATTGTTCCCTCAATAATTTGAACATCTTAAATCCAAGATGAGCATTCACAACATTTACGGCACATCATGAGAGGAACTATTGGATATTATACAAATTAAATCAGTTTCTTTTAACTGGTTTAATGTTAAGTTAATTGTATAGTTGGTTTAGTTTGATTTAGGATACAGAACAAATGTATATAAGCGTGTAATATCTCATTTTCCCAGATTAATGGAAAATATCTTCCAACAACTTTCTCTTTCTACTTCCATCTTCTTCTTCCTCTTTCAACTGCTAATATAGTATCAGAGCCATCAAAGCTCTAATTCCAGTTCGTTTTTCTTCGTTTTTGCCATTTTCAACCACAAATTTGGTTTCCGCAAGCTCGATTTCATTTGGAAATGGTGTCTCTGAAGAATTTATCTCGTCGTTCAGCTCGGACTCGAACTGATACGACTCCTGCTCGTCTATCTTCTTGATCCGTCGCCGATGTAACTGAATCTCCTCCGATAACTCAACCTGCAGATCCTGCAGGTGATTCGCGAGCTGTTGCATTGCCGATGTTCTCTGATCCGACGCAATCTCCTTTCTATCTTCATAGCGGTGATCATCCAGGTTTAAACATCATCTCTCTTCGTCTTGATGGTACGAATTATGATGACCGAAATGCTGCAATGCTTATAGTCTTAGATGCTAAGAACAAAATTGGTTTCATTGATGGATCAATTCCTCGTCCTCTGGAATCAGATACTCAATTTCTTCTGTGGTCTAGATATAACAGTATGGTCAAATAGTGGATCTTAAACTCAATTTCTCCCCAGATTTATCGTAGTGTGTTGCGTATGAATTAATGCTACTGATATCTGGATACAGAGCCGATTTTATCTTACTAATCTACCACAGACCTTTAACCTCACACAAGAAATACAGTATCTGCATCAAGGTTCTATGTCTCTCTCTGATTACTACACTCAACTAAAAACATTGTGAGATCAATTAGAGAACACAGATGAACCAGATGACCCCTGTACATGTGGAAAGGCAACTCATGTGCAATTGAAGGCAGAGATGTCTAAAATTGTGAAGTTCTTAGATGTTCTTAATGACTCATATACTTTGATTCGTAGGCAGATCATTGCAAAGAAAGCTTTTCCAAGTCTTCCTGAAGTCTACAACATCTTGGATCAAGATGAAAGTCAGAAAGGCTTCTCAAGTCAGCTCCCTCCTCCGGTTGCATTTCAAGTAACTGTAGAGAACACTTTAACCATGGAATCCACAGCTGTTTGTTATGTTCAATCCAGACCAAATAAAGGCAGACTGATTTGCTCATTTTACAACAGAGTTGGTCATATTGCTGATCAGTGCTACAAGAAACATGGCTTCCCACCTGGTTTCACTCCAAAGGAGAACAAGTCGAATGACAAATCACTGAAAAATCCTCATGTTGCTGCTCAAGTTTCTTTGGCTCCGAATACTGATCAAAATTCTTCTGGTACTGCATCGGATATGAGTGGTCTCGTTGGAAATCTTACTAAGGATCAGATTCAAAGCTTCATTGCTTACTTCAGTTCTCAGCTAAAGAATCAGTCTCTGAATCCCTCTCATGATGTGAACACTTCTCAGAGTATTCCTTCCACATCATCTACTTCTGGTATTGATTTCTCAACCTCTACCTTCAATTTTGTTGGTATTTTGACTGTGTCTAAGGCATCATTGACTCAGGATTATTGATTCAGGAGTCACTCATCATGTGTCTCACGATCTGTCCATGTTCACATCATTAGATACTTCGGTTAATAGTGTTGTGAATCTTCCTACTGGTTCAGTTGTGAAAATCAGTGGTATTGGTGTTTTTCAGATTAATCAAGACATTACTCTCAACAATGTCTTGTTTATACCTGAATTTCGCCTAAATCTCATCAGTATCAGTTCATTAACTTCTGATCTGAACTCAAGAGTCATATTTGATGCGTCTTCTTGTGAAATTCAGAACAATACCAGGGAGTTGATGATTGGAACGGGTAAACGAATTGCAAAATTATATGTGTTGGATGTGCAGAGGTTTCAAGTGAATGTTGTTGCTGACATTGGAGTTTTTCACAACAGACTTGGACATCCTTCTCTTGCTCGTTGGACATTATTTTCGAAGCTCTAGGAATTGCAAAACACAAGAACAAGATTTCTGCACATTGTCATGTGTGTCACTTGGCTAAACAAAATAATCTTTCTTTTCCCTCTCCAAACAATATCTGTAATAATCCTTTTGATTCGATACACATTGATATTTGGGGTCCCTTTTCAACTGAAACAGTGGATGGTTATAAACATTTTTTTAACGATTGTTGATGACCACACAAGAGCAACGTGGGTTTATCTGCTCAAACAAAAGAGTGACGTCTTAACTATCTTCCCTGCATTCCTTCAACTGGTTGAGACTCAATACAAATTCAAAGTGAAAACAGTAAGAGTAGATAACGCACCAGAACTGAAGTTAACACCGTTGTATCAGTCAAAAGGGATTATGGTTTTTCACTCTTGTCCCTGAACAATATTCGATTGTAGAACGCAAACATCAATATATCTTGAATGTTTCCAGAGCTTTGATGTTTCAATTTCAAATTACTTTGGCTTATTGGGGTGAATGTATTCTCACAGCGGTGTTTCTCGTAAACCGAACACCATCTCAGCTGCTACACAATAAAACTCCCCATGAATTACTCATTAATAAAGCTCCGGACTATTCTCAGATCAAGACTTTTGGATGTTTGTGTTATGTCTTTACATCTCCAAAACAAAGACACAAGTTTGAAGCACGGTGTAAGACTTGTATCTTCATTGGTTATCTGCCGGTTTAGAAGGGATACAAGTTACTTGATTTGGAGACTAACAATGTGTTCATATCAAGAAATGTTATCTTCGATGAGGAAGTCTTTCCTTTTGCTAAAGAAGCTGAACCAAAGGTAGATTCTGATTTCTTTACATCGTTGGACTTTTTGTCTTCAGTTTCACCACCAACTCCTATTAAACCACAAAGAATATTCCTTCCCCAACACCAAATTTTTCTCTTCTTACTCGCAGACAACCCAAAACTCCGACACACTTCAAAGATTATCATTGTTATTAACTAAACTCTGATATATCTCATCCCATATCCTCTGTTTTGACATATTCCAAACTCTCTCCTACTTACAACTCTTTATCAATAACATTACAAAAATCCCTATTCCTAATACCTATGCTGAGGCAAAAGGGTCCAAAGAATGGTGTGATGCAGTTGATAAGGAGCTTGGAGCCATGTAAATCTCTCAAACGTGGGGTGTCACTACTTTACCTCCGGGTAAGAAAGCAGTGGGATGTCGATGGATTTTCACCTTGAAATTTCATGCCGATGGGAGTCTAGAACGATATAAAGCTCGTCTTGTGGCCAAAGGCTACACAGAAAGAAGGACTGGATTTTAATGACACATTCTCACCAGTGGCTAAGCTTTCTATGGTGGCTGCATCTAAGTCTTGGTCTCTTCATCAACTGGATATATCAAATGCATTTCTTAATGGTGATCTTGATGAGGAAATCTATATGAGATTACCTGATGGATATGCAAAGAGAAAGGGGGACTCTATTCCCAAAAAAGCAGTTTTACGCCTCAAGAAATCCATTTATGGATTAAAATAGGTCTCACGACAATGGTTTTTGAAGTTCAGAGATGTTTTGTTGAATCTGAACTTTGAGAAAAGTAATGGAGATCATACACTGTTTATGAAGAGTTTTGGTGATGGTGAATTCATTGCAGTATTGGTGTACGTTGATGATATAGTCATTGCTAGCACAAGTGATGCAGCGGCTGCTGCATTGACATCTGACCTGCAACAACATTTCAGATTACGGGTCTTAAGTCTTTTGAAATACTTCTTGGGATTGGAGGTGGCTCGTAATGCTTCTGGAATATTTTTGTGTCAATGAAAGTATACTTTGGAACTTCTAACTTCAATTGGAATGTTGGGTTGCAAGCCAGCTCCTACACCAATGATTCCAAATTTGAAGATGTCAAAGTCTGATGGTGAACCAATCCCTAACAAAGACATGTATCGAAGTCTGGTTGGTCAACTGATGTATTTGACTTACACAAGGCCTGACATAACTTTTTCAGTGAACAAGTTATGCCAATACTCTGCAGATCCTCGGACGACTCATCTTAAAGCTGTTTAAGGATTTTGCAGTATCTCAAGAGCACAGTTGGACAAGGTCTATTCTAGTCTTCAGACTCTGATTTAACATTGAAAGGGTTTGCAGATTCAGATTGTCCTCTTGTCAAGATAGTAGACGATCTACTACAGGGGTTTGCATGTTTCTTGGATCATCAATTATTTTCTGGAAGTCCAAGAAACAGGATAC